CGATGCCAAACCTCAGATTCATCTTTTATATTAACCTTCAGCCCATTTATATAATTTGGGTTCTTTAATTCTAATTTTAAAATGTATAAATGGTCCTCTCTTCTACAACTTATCTCAAAATTAGTACCTTCTATTACCACATTTAGCTTATTAAATATAACTTTGGTATCATCACGCATTATTTTTCGTACAGCCAATAAATTATGTTTCAACCCCTGTACAATTAATCCATTTATCTTTATCTTCCTTTCTTGGCAGTATCCTATCAATTCACCCCTCTTTGTTGCCTTCAATATATCACCATTTGCAATTTGTATATTTGTTTCTCTTTCCAATGGTTGAACATTACACATATACTTTTCCATTTCAGCTTTGATCAAGTGCTCTGATTGCACCGGAGTCTAAAATAAAATTTATAGACTTCTCTTCCTCAATTATTTTTCTCATAGTACTCAATGCAATAAATGAAATTTCCTCTTCTTTTGCACAGTTTCCTGATTCTTTCTTCCATGGTCTATTTACCCTATTAAAAGTCTGATGACCTCTTCTGAATCTTCCTCTATTATTATTATTATGATTATTATAATTATTGTTACTTCTTACCTCTCTGACTCTACAGTCGGCGATTTTATGGTCCATTTTACCACAGCGATAACATGAGAAAGGAATCGCTTTGAATGCCACCTCACTATCACCATGATTACTATTTTTATTCTCCATAGATTTACTTGTCATCTTTAACTCTTCGTCTAACAGTCTTGACTTGACAAACTCTATTTAACCTCTTTGTTACTTACTGTTTCTATCGCTGTTATCACTGCTTCATATTTCTCATTCATTGATAATAATAAATGACTTATCTTGTCGCTTTCTTTTGCTGTATTTGCATCCTTTATTAGATCCAAATGCTTGTCACTTATACAGTGGACTATCATTATCCTGGCTCTCGCATCTCGAGTCTTAAATTGACTTTTCTCAACTTCACTCGCGTAATCTTCGACATGTTTGCTTAATGTGTCTTCTATTTGCTTTTTATTTAGCAAACACAACTCCAAATTTCCAATTATTGAAATTATCAGATGATAATCGAGGATATACTTGGGCTGTATTCATCTTGAAATTTTATTCACTACAAGCTCTATCTTACCCACGTGGTTTTCTATAACCTTCTTTTCATCTACTTCTTAATCTTCGATCAACTCAATTATCTCTCCTATTTTTATTTTAATACAAGCTTGGGCCCATAACTTCTTAGATTTATTAAATGATTTATTTTAATATTAAACGAATACATAGTTAATAAATGCAAAATAAACTCTTCATCTTTACCATTGTATTAACGAACGAAATCTACGCAGCGAATAACGAACATACTTCTTCAACCGTTTTTAAACAAAAAAAGAGGGGGAAGTAGGCAGTGCCAACTATTTAATAACTCAAAAAAGAAAAATAACCATCTTTTGGTGACCAAAACCTAACATCGAATACGCGTGTACTTGATTTAGCTTGTTTTACTATCTTACTGTTCCGAGTAGGAGAGTATTTACTTCTGTGCTTCTTGCAATGTTTACTGAGGCTGAACCTGGTCCAAATGTACGCGTACTCGACAAATTTTCAAACTTATTTTTTTCGAAAATAAAGCGTCATATAAAAAAATTTTATTCTACATTTTCGATTCAATTTTTTACGTAGAATTACCCCCTACTTCCTTGTACCACCAGTTCCGGGACACCCTATATGTATATATTTTTTTTTCTCTTTATGTTCGCCAGGATGGATAGATGTACCAATTGAAACGAAATCTTTTGCATCTTGTAGAGTATGTGTCCTGAGTGGTCCCGTTAACAAAACATTGCAACAATTTATGGAATTTCTTATTGTTAATAACTATTGTTATAGCCAAGTACTTGTTCCTTGGTGTTGCTTTGCACGGAATGTACCGATCGTGATGAAACCTTTCACATTTATCGTTAGTAGGAAATATATATATTCGCGATGATCCTACTTGCAAAAATGTATGGAACTTGTTATCGTTAATAACTATCGTTATTGCAATTAACTAATAAGAGTGACAAACCACTTTACAGCATCTTACAAATACTGCTCGTTCCACTAAAAAATGTGAAATGAAATAATTTTTAACAAAAAATACAACCGTCTTCAAAATACGCTGAAAAGTGTAAAATAATTTCTATTTCATTTGTACCAATATTCTACAGCTATTAATAAAGTCTATTTAATCATTAAATAGGATACTAAATACATTTCAACCTTTTCGGAGACGGCGCAAAATTAAATGATGCTGCCAATACGATTTGATTGCGGTAGGCGAATTTGGTAATTAATAAGTCGTAAGAAAAAATTTGGAACATTATAGATACGGCGAAAAACATTTGTATTTGTAACGATTGTATGAGAAGTTGGCAGCACTTCTGATGTACATTTAGTTAATCCGCAATGGGTATGTTGATTCCCGTCGAATATTGTTTACTTGAAATTATCAAATGGGTCATTTGTCATAAGTTGCCGACGCGACGTCTGAAATAGGATCTTATTAGTAGAAGAAATATTTTTAATTTTACGCCGCCCCGAAAAGGTTGAAATGTATTTAATATACTATTTAACGATTAAATAGGTTTCATTAATAGTTGTGGAGTATTGGCACTGTTACGTATCTGTCTCGGAAATTTCCTTATATGGTGTTACAAACCCTTCTCAAAAATTTAAAAAATTTGCTTATATGGAATCGGATGTGCGCACCCGACACCAATCGTCTTCTAGAAAAGTCGAGACCAACGCAAAGCAAGGGCGCGGTCCTACAGGTCACGTAGAGTCAGTCCCCACCACCCTTATTACTCTAATTTTTGAGTATAAAAAGGGTGGCGGCAAAGGTACCTCGGGTCTAGTTGAAGTCTAGAATCAGTTCGATGCACATCAGTACGTTTCTTTTACGGATAATCTCTGCAACGAGAAAACTCTGCGAGATCGGGTATTCAAGTCCCTTTGAAGCACTCAGTAACTATACAGTACGTTGTCTGCTGTTAAGCATTATTCTGATCGTTGTAGTTAGGGATGGGCGATGTTCGACAAAAATATCGATGTTAAAATAATCGATTAGTTGAAAAATCGATAATTGAACATCGATGCTCTTTAAAAAATATCGAAATATCGAATTCTTTTTTATTAGAGTTGATTTTGGAAACATCACCCTGAGCACATTTCCTAGAGTGTAGCCTAGAAAATGCATATACAGGTAAACAAAAAATATTACACTATCTTTCTTATTTAAGTTTTCCTAAAAAATATAGTTAAATCAGAATCGTACATTCAATGTTAACTTCGAAGAATATTAATGAATATCCCCCAAGTAGTAATAGTATTTTGCGAGTTCTTGAGCTGTAAGTGCAACAGAGTTGACTTCGTGATTAGAAAAAATGTTTTTATTAAATCTAGGAAATGGGGTATTCTAAGGATAGATATGCATAAGCAGCATAAACATCAAAATATTATGCGTACTGTTACGTCGCAACTCAGGGAAGCAATTAAAACTACACGGTATCACTTCCACACGCGTTCGTTTTATTGAATTAATAATTGAATTTCGGACAATGGTTCAAATTTCGCACAAGAACTAATTATTATTAAGCGATCGTGACCCTTGCTATGAAGTCGCCTGGCACAGAATGGCCGCCCGGGTGTGGTTTTTTATTATATGTATATATGAATATGTTGCGCAGTTTCGTTCGCGAAGAAGCAGCCCAGTCGTCGGATTCTTATGTTTCTATGTGTCATCAGTTTCTGGGCTGCCGTACCGTGGGAATAGGGGATGCAGGGTGTTATCTCTGCTAGTCAAGCTAGCAGAGGTTCTCGCCTAACAGTACTTTATAAAAAGTCACTGTACCTGCAATAGTAGAACAGATGCAAAAGGATTGAGATGATAAAGAAAATTATAGATGGAGCATTTGGATAAGATAATTTTTTAAATCTAAGATCATAGAATAAGAGTCACAAGAATGTAATACCACAAATGCGTAAGGCGTTCTTATTTAGTCGCGTTCCGAAATTCACTGCCACTGCAGGAATCTAATTACGTATTACACATTTTCAGTGCTGGCAATGAATTTCGGAACACGACTTATACCCAATGAGCATACAACATTTCTCGAAAATTATACGCTCATTGAATAGTGCGCGTCGAGTTATCATATCATGCTGTTCAGTTTTCTCACAGAGATAAAAAATACCGATGTTATGTAAAAAAGTATCGATAATCGATTAATTGATTTGTAGAAACATCGACAAAAATAATCGATTATTAGGAAAAAAACTATCGATATTTAATTAATCGAAACATATTGCCCATCCCTAGTTGTAGTCCGCCCCCGTTTGTTCGCGTTCGTGAAAACCGAGAAGGATTAGATTCTTGTTTCGCGGAATCGAAAATAAACTTTATTTATTCAACTCATTTAAATTTGCAACTTAGAGTTTAATTCATTGAACACCGCGACAATTACACACAACAATTGTAAGGTCCCGGAATATAGAATAAACTCATTATTTTAACTTCTACTATTGTCTAATTATATTGACTAGTCCAGAAACCCACTAAGGTGTACCTTTACCGCTAAGGTGTACCTTTAATACTAACATTCCTGCGGCTCCCTACATTAGCCATACGTAGGTTCGTCCTCACGTCTTCACCTTTCCTGAGGCTCCCTATGTTAGGTTCGTCCACTATAACCGACCTCCTGGAGCTCCCTACGTTAGCCATACGTAGGTTCGTCTCCACGTCTACTTCCTTAGGCTCCCAGTGTTAATAACAACATTGGTCAAGCCATTAACAAATACCATAACCGAGATTAAGCCCCGGCTACGCAGCCGCCCCCTCCGGCTCGTAACAGTACAAATGAAATAGAAATTATTTTACACTTTCTAGCGCATTTTGAAGTCGGTTGTATTTTTTGTTAAAAATTATTTTTTATAAATGATTACAAACTCACCAGCACGAAGAGTAACTTCACGAGAAAGGACCGTTCCCACTGAGCTGGTTGCACGACACCTGTATCTTGCGTTGTGAACTTCCGCGCGAAAATCTTGCGCCAAAAAGGGTGGAAAGTAGAGGGTGCCATTTCCGAGCAGCTGTCTGAAACATACAGAAAAAAACGGATTTGAATTCTAATGTGTTCATACGCTTTCACTACTAATATTGCTATTTGTTCTACATAGACTTTGCAACTTAATCCTTGGACAGCGGACTATAGAGAAAGCTCCAATTTTAATTTCACTTTGTATTTCATAATATTTCCATTTTTTAAGTTTTACACTATTTTTTTTAATTATACATTCAACTTTAGATTAATACTATTATTCATATTTTGTAAGTTGGGGTTATCTCGGAGTGTCCTAACCCCCGCAAGGGGCGCGGGGAACCAGCTCTACAAGCTAAGGTGTAAGCAATCGTGCCGAGAGCTGGATGGTACCGGGGTAATAGTGTCGCGAACGATGCCCTTGGGGTACCAGCCCCCCCCCCCCCCCCCCCCCCATTGTATTCAGCCTTACCCCTGTAAGCGGGGTCTGCAGGGGCGGACCCATACTTCCCAACTACTCGTGGGACACATATGGACATTAACAAAAATACAAACACACAAATAGACATAAACACGAATGTACCCGGAAGCGGGCCAGTTGAGGAATCAAGGGACCCAATTTTGGGAACCGTTTCCGAAACACCGCTGACGAGTGTTTTAGGGGAGGGCGCGTCTACGGCAGGCGAGACTACAACCTTGCCAGCCCTAGACATGCTCACCCTCAATGAGGAGCTTTCCTCAGGTACGACTGGGGCCGAGCAGGGAGAAATCCCGGATCTGGAACTGGCAGCGTGGAGGAAGGTCAAACGCAGTGGGGCAGCCAAGAAGAGGGCCCGGAGGGCGCGTTTAGCGCTGGAAGGGAACTCCGGCGGGACTGCTCCCATTGACACAAAACGCAAGGCTGCGGTGGCCCCAGCGACGGCGTCTGCAAAGGGAGGCCCGTCAACCGGGCAACCCCTCGCAGGGACGTCGCAGGCGGGCGGCAAGGAGGCGGATGACAAAGGGCTCAAAAGGGCTCCGACCATCCGTTTCCCCAAATACCAAACCATGCACCAAAAGACGGCAAAGGATATTCCCTTCGTCAATCAGCTTTAAGGAGGCGCTGTCAGCGGAGAGGAGGCTGGCAATTGCACCGGCCAACTACCCGGAGTCAACCCTCATTGCGGCGCAGGCTTCCGCCATCGAACAGGCGATCGTTGAAGCGCTGTGTGAGCTCCACAAGGGGGGCGCCATGCTGCGCGAAGCGGCACCAGTGCCGGTTTTGAGGAGGCCTGCTTCTAGTGACCTGCTCGGACACCGGAGCGGTAGAGTGGCTAGGGGCCACCGCCGCCGGCATTAAGCCTTGGGAGGGAGCGGACCTCCGGATGATGGATGGCCAGCACCTCCCGAGGCTCACAAGGATGGTGACGGTCATCCCCGGCCCTCCGGTGGCGACGGAGCCATCCTCAGGTTGGTGGAGGGGCAGAACCCGGGATCCTGGGGGTTGGCCCTACTTCACACGGCCTCATCGAGAGGCAAGGCTTTGAGGTCCACGTGGGACTGCGCAGGGCCCTATTTAGAGAGGGAGTCCAAACACGCAGAAACAGTCACCGAAACAAAACCAGGTTCAATAGCCCCGGGGATGGAGGAAGACAAGGAGAAAGGGAGCGGGATGGACAAGGGTGAAGTGGAACCCAGGGTGTCGTGAGTGACGCACTCGGGAACCCTCACCCCCACACCGACACTATCCCACTCGCCTCACCCCGAGGCAACAACCAACAGGAGGCGGCTGCCGGATTCTCTCAAGGATCGAAGGCCGCCGAAACGCAACTTCCGACCAGCGGGAGCATCCCCAAGGCAGGAATGTCAAGGGCTTCCCCTCAAGGCCTTCGCCGACCACGGCGGAAGCGACGAAAAGGACCGGGCTTCTGGGGGTGCAGAGGGCGTACCCTAATACACACCCTGACGGCCGGTACCAGGAAAAAGAGAGGGAAGGGCCCTGGCAAGGGTCCTCCTCAAAGGTAGGTGCAATAGGCCCCTGCGGGGAACCAATCCCACCTACCTTGACCAAAGTAGCCTACCTTGACACCGGACCACATCCGACACCAACAAAGTGCCAGACGGTACCAGGATCTCGCAGATCAACCTGCAGCATTGCAAGGCGGCAACGGACATTCCCCTGTGCTGCCTAACGATGGGGCAGACATATGTAGCCCTCATACAGGAACCTTGGATCTGCAAGAAACGGGTAGGGGGGCTCAACACGAGGTGCGGCTCACTTTACTATGACGCCTCATCCAAAAGTCCCATCTTCATCAAAAAGGAGATAGAGGCCCAGAAACTCAATGAATTCTGCACAAGTGACCTCTCAGCGGTTAAAGTAAAACTCAACCTCGGAGGGAATACGTCAGAGCTGATCGTTTGCTCGGCCTACCTTCCGTACGACTCAGAAGGTCCTCCTCCCTCGAGGGAACTCAGAGCACTGATTGACCACTGTGCTGTCAACGGTCTGCACTTGGTGATCGGCTGCGACGCCAACTCGCACCACACCGTATGGGGCAGCACCAACATGAATTGCAGAGGCACAGCATTGCTGGAGTACCTCGCCTCCACGGGTCTGGAGATCCACAACATAGTCTCCGCCCCCACCTTTGTTATCTCCCGCAGACAAGAGGTAATCGATTTGACCTTGGACTCCGCTAAAGTGGCATAGGTCGTTAAACAATGGCAGGTTTGGGACGAGACCACACTCTCGGACCACAGCCTCATTATTTTCAATCTAATGGGCGACAGGGAAAGCGGCACTGGCGAAGCCTACAGGAATCCTAAGCCCACGAACTGGGCACTCTACAAAGAGGAGCTGGAATCGAGCGGACGGCGGAACACCTGAGCTCCGCCATCACTCAGGCCTACGAGGCTGCCTGCCCTGCCAGAACAAGGAACAGCAGGAAAAGGGTCCCCTGGTGGACGAAAAAATTGGACCAAGCCAGGAAGGATACCCGCAGACTGCTGAATAAAGCCATGTAGGCCAATACGGAGCCAGCCAGGGACAACTATAAAAAGTCCCAGAAGGCTTACAAAAGGTTAATAAGAACCAGCAAATGGACGGCCTGAAAGACCTTCTGCAAAGAGACCGAGGCTCTTCCAATAGTTGCCAGGTTAAGGAAGATCTTCTCCATAGGCCCCTTACCGGGGTTGGATCGTATCAGACTCCCGAACGGGAGTATGACTCGCAACCGCAAAGAAAGAATTTCGCGGGCTCAGTAGCAGATGGTCGGGAGTTGCGTCGTGGAGATGCCACGCACATCAACCACGCTTCAACAGACTGGGGAATAGCTAAGAGGGTGATCAGCACGGACAAGGTGAAGTGGGCCATTGGCTCCTTCAAGAGATTTAAAAGTCCAGGCACAGACGGGAACTTCCCGGCACTCCTTCAGGAGGGCGGTGAGGACCTGTACAGGCGCCTGGGCCAAATCTTTAAATCCTGTCTAGCAAAGGGCTATGTACCCAAAGCCTGGAGACACTCCAAGGTAGTGTTCGTCCCGAAACCAGGGAAGGACAATTATGACTTGGCAAAGTCATATAGGCCTATCAGCCTCACCTCTTTCATACTCAAAACACTGGAAAGACTGGTTAATAGGCATATTAGAGACGAGGTTCTGGTCAGTAGACCACTGCACCTCTCCCAACATGCTTATCAAAACGGCAAATTCGCCGAGACGGCACTTCACAACCTGGTAAAGGGTCTAGCCGTATAAGCATAGTGAATCGGCCCCAGTAACAATTTCGGTTGATATTGATATCACATATTGCTTTTTGCCTAAACAACAATTGTGTGCAATTTCAACCCCCTACCCCCTCTGATAAGGGAGATATGAGGGTAAAACCCAAAACCTTTACCATTTTTTTTCTCGGAAACTATTTAAGATATTTGATCACGTTAAAGTGCAAATAGTAGGTATTCATTAGTTGTATATCATATTTTTTTTTCAAAATTTTTATTCGATGATTAAGGGTTGAAAATTAATAAATAAATCTTTGAAAATGATTTTTATAAACAATCCCTTGGATGACACCCACCGAAAAAATTAAGAATAATCCTTTACTATTTAACTATTATCTGTAAAAATTTCAAGAGTGTCGGATTGGTACATCATAGTTAAAAAAAAATAAAACCAATGCAACGCCCTTTCATAAGGCAAAGCCGGCCTGAACGTTAGAGGCGCTCAACCTAACCGACCTACAGGGGAATACGTAGCGCCGACCCGCCACGTTTCTCGTACCAGAAACAGCTCTCAGAAAAGTATGAGCTCTTCTTTCCCTAAACTGTGTGTTAATTAACAGTCATTTATTTAAATAATATATTAACAATTTAAATTTTTTAATTAAGTTTTCTGGTCCTAATTTTTAACGTCCGTGTTTTCACGGTGTTTCTCGTTTTAAGTATGTCTCGCATGCATATTGGTTTATACCCGCGTAACTATTTACGTTTGATTTGTATTCTATGTAACAATTGTAAGTTTTACCGTTTATATGTCGCGACCGAACTTTCATTTTTATAATGTTATTGTTTTGTTGTAAATATTGTACATTTAACGCGTCATGTTCGTCCAATAATTCCGCAAGATAACGTTTTTACCGCGAGATTTTAAAGTTTGGAAATTCTATCCAATTAACGACTCCTCTATATTCGGCAACAAGAGGGAACAAGACAGTGGACACTAAAATCATGGACTCAGGATCGTACGCTTTACCCTTTATGATGCGTCTATTTACACGCCAATTTAGGCTCCGTGATTGCGTAAAAAAGTATCAGGGCATATAAACCGCATTGGAAAATACACCATTTGTACCATAAAACGCGCTTAACTCTTTTCTGGACACCCATATACTTAAAACGAAGGTCACCTTAATTGCAGCCATTTCCAGGTAGTACTGGTACGCTATAATATAATTAACCCTTTTCAGGGCGACCATATACTTAAAGCGAGGAAAATCTTAGTTACAACTATTCACAGGTACCAGCTACAATTTAATTAAAAGTAATACGTACGTGAAAAGGTAAAGACGGAAATAG